TACAGAGCATCACCTGGTGATCACAAGTGCATCCGCAGAACAGGCTGCTCCTCTTAGCCAAGTGTGATACCCACACAGAGGAGAGTTCTTGATGACAAGATTGATGGAAAAAGAAAACATTAAGGTCAGCTGGGCATTGATATTTGCACTGGGTGTTCCATTCCTGGTATATGGAACTTTACACAGCTCTTACAAAGAAAGGAGTAGAGAAAAAGGTTCTGATTAGTAAGGATTTGCCCTGCTGATGCAGACCATGTTAGTAAGACTAACAAAACCTGTGCAAGGATCCAGAGCTAAGCTCACACCTACAGCAAGCATCAGTAGACCTACTGAGTGTCATAATGATCCTAGGAAAAACAGAAACAGAACTTATGGATTAAAGGAATAATAGAGCAAATATGTGTTTTCTTGGTAATGTGACTTGGGTGATCTCCAAATGGACTATGTGAGCATTAATGTATTAAAGCTTTAAAAAAACCTCAGGGGTAGGAACATTAACACTGATCACACACCATTTACACCTCATTCTGTTGTGTTTCCTTGAAATTTAAGTTACAGCTCGGGACAGCAGCCTGTAACATAAGGAAATTACAACAAAGTTGCTGAAATTCTTATTCCTATACCCAAGACCTGGGACCAAATTCACCCTCATTCCTTGGGTGTCCATACATTGTTGCTTGTAACATACTGAGCTCCCTCTCTGTACATACCAGTTTTTGTCCCGACAGGACTTCCAGGAGTGCCATCAAGATTTTGCCATCTTGTATGTCAATAAACAAGTCTTTCACTTTCAAAGGTGGCTTGCACTGTGAAGAAAAGACACCAGGTAGCTTTTAAAACAGTACTGCTTGGGAAGTCACCATGATTTCAGAGAGTCAGAAGGAGAATTTTACAAGACAGAGATACCAGAAGTAAATCATTGCCTGCAGGAAGAGAGCTGACTATTCTTCACTTCAGTGGCAACTCTGTCCTAGGAATGTCAGAGCTACAACTGAGATATAGTATTCAAGTAATTGAGATCAGACAAGGACTTACTCCAGATTTCCCATAACAGAATCTAACCCTAAATACTCTGTCTAGGAAGTGACCATCCCAGGGTTGGGTGCTGATCTCTCAGACTAAGACATGTCCAGCAGAAGCAAATCCCACTTTATGCAGAAATAAGCCTGTGATCCACCTGGCCACAATGTCCTGTCTCCTCTGCAAGTTTTCTGGTGATGCCACTCTATTTCCCAGCATTTTGTGAGTACTTTAAGTAGCAGCTTCTCGTATTGTGTCTCTCTCTTCTCGGCAAACTCCTCCAAAGGGAACCATCTCCTCACTTCACTGAGGTGTTGGATGATGTGTATGCTGTGAGACACACAGCCAAGCCAGCTCAGCCCTTAGGGGTAGTCCTAGCTGCAGCAATTACACTCTCTTCAGGTGTCACTCACTCACGTGCCCCTAAAGAGCCCAATCTTTTTATCTTTGGTTGGGCAACACACTCCTGTTTGATGAAGCACTGCTCCTGGCAAACTGGGACCACACATTTTCCTTACTGGTCTTTCATCTAGTCAAGAGTACTAACAATCCTCTGTGAAAGAAAGCAAATTATCATTCATTTCAAAATTACCTATCTGAAAGTCTCAAACCAAAACCTTTTCTATTCTCTCAGTACTTAAGGGAAGAACAACCCAGAAGATGCAAACTATTCCCAATTATCCTCTGACCAGCAGAGCCAGATCCTCTCAAAAGATAACCCAAGTGGCATGGTCTGCTCCACAAGGAGATACACCACACCACAAGTTTCCTGGAGAAGTGCAAGAAGACTTCATTGCTGCCTCTGAAAGAAAGCAGCCACTCTGCAAGAAGTGCTTCTTTGAGGATAAAGGCAGAGCCACTTTTCTCAGTGAGTGTCCTCAGGGAATCACCTGTAATTAGAGACAGCTTTAGTGAAGCTCTCATGGGTATATTTATTATGCCACTTCCAGGAAAAACATTCATATAGAACAAGTCTTTTGCCTTTTCTCCAGAAAAGCACTTTTTTTGTTGAATCAAAGAGGAAGAAAATTTGTATACACTCCAGAGAAGGCTGACCTGCCCACAAAGGTTCTAAGACATCATATGCTTGGCACAGCAGAATTAACAGCCTTTTTTGTGATATAATTCCTTCTCTGAATCAAAGACCTTCTCTACAGTAACATATTTGACAACTCTTTTTGACAACTTCCAAAACTGCAGTTAGTTTAAAGCCCTAGTGCCTGATTCACAAAGGCATCACATAACACTGTCTTCGTTCTGAGGCCTTTGAGAGCAATTGCTAGTCAAAACATTTCCAAGTAGCCTTATTCTGATTTTCCAGTGAGAGTTAAGAGGATCCCTTTATGCCCTCAGCAACACTCGCTGCAGAGTAGTGGACTTCAGCAACTGTATATTGTGATGCCTTTCTTCTAAAACCCCTTTCCTTTAGGTGTCTGAAATGCAATCACTTCCCAAGAGCTACAGCAGCTAAACTGAGAATGAGCTTTGGCTAAACTTAGTCCCAGTGTGTACTTTTTGAAATTCAGCCACAGATACTACAGCTTTGTGAAGCTCAAACACCAGCTCAAGTTAGGACTTCACTTAGATCAGGACGTTGGTCTCATTCCTTGATCCTGCACTAACCACTGCTGCTGTCTCAGTAATATTATCAATAGCAAGAAAAACATTCTGTGCATGGCAGACTGCTCAGGAGAGGTATCACATATAGAGATGCTTATTGAACAGTAAATTAGAGTTAATAGCCATATTATAGTGTGATTAAAAACTATATCTTAAAGAAATTATTTAAGTGATTAAATGATTTAAGTGAGTACATGAAGATCCCATCATACTGCCCCCCCAGCCTCAACATGACTGACAAGGAATTAATGTTTTCTGTCCTCAGATCTGGGATGAAGACAGGTTCTGAAGAACATCTGTCTTTGACCCTAATGCCTCAGATGTTCTTACTTCCAGTCCAGGCAAGAACACAGACATCATCACCTCAGAGCACCCTCAACCACATCTGATTTTATGTGAGCACATTCTAGGGGAAAATTCTACCCTCATGGTAACAGCCAGTAGCATTAAAGACTGAAATGCACCTGAGCTGAATTAAAGCCAGCCAAGCATTCACTGTGCTTCAAAATGAATTTTAATTACCCAGAAACATGCTTTGAGCTTCCCCTCATTCTCCTCCAAACATCCCCATAGGTACAGAAGTCAACTTTGTTTCCAAATCTTAACTACTTTAAAAGGAATTAACTGCAAACTGTCTACGGCTGTGTCCCAATATCAAGAGTGTTTGTCAGTCTTACCTTTCCCAAATGAAGGTTTATCCATCTGGTAAAGGTCCTCTTCTGTACATTCTCCCGTTCCACTAGAAACATCAGAAACAAAAAACAGCACTTAAGTTTCCAGAAGAGGGAAAGCTGCTAGGAAATTTCAGAAACTGATGCACTAAACAGTCAAAATTCACAAGAGCCTGTGAATAAAACAAATATATTCCAAACCAGGAGATACAAGGTTGAGCTATTGGTGTTTTATTCAATTTCTTTGTCCAGACATGAACTATACACTTGTAGATGCATTCTAAAGGCAGGAGGAAGGAATGTCTCTTAGTTTTGCAATCTTCAGTGTTCAGCTTATGAGAGGTGAACATTTATGTGCTGTGCACAGCTCTCCAGTGATGTCAGCAGGCAGTCTGACCCTTCTGTGTCAATTTGTAGGATTATTGCTCTGACACCCTCATGCAAATTGGGCTGACGTGCACAAGCAAACAGGATCAACACAACAATTTTGTCTTCATTCTTAGGAACGAAAAAGCCTCATCAAATCTGTTTTTCCCAGTCCCCTAACTAGTGCATTTAAACTCAAAATTCCAAGTCCCTACATTGAAGAATCATTTTATTTATACTGCAGTACGACAAGGAGTGCTCATTCCTTGCCAGGAGTGCTGTGTGCTAGGTGCTGTACAAACAGCTCCTGGGCCAGCTGAAGAGTTTTTAATCACATCTGCCATTTCCTGAACCCATTTCCATAGTGAACTACGGCAAAAGTGTAAGGGGAGTCATATTACTGACCAGCTTTCATTTACCTTCTAATATAAAAAAGTAAACCATATATATTTAATATAAATGAAGTAGACTGTCAAACTAATATTTCATTTTAAAGACAATTATTCTCAAGTGGTTCTCAAGTTTCACTTGCATTAAGGAAATCTGGCAATTTATGAACAAAACCCATTAAAAGTAGTTATATGCTGTATTTCAATTTACTCATAGAGCATATCAAATATATTTTAAAACCATTTCGTGTTTCTTCAGCCCTACAAAAACAGCTAACCCATCTACTGGGAAATCACATTCTGTAAAAGTCTGGTTTGTTTTTATTGGTCAGACTGATTATAGGCCAAGCAGTAGCTTCCATAAATCAAATTTTAATATTGTATTTTTTGATCATTTTAACTGAAGGGTCAGCAGCCTCTAATCATACATATAATTGTTTTCCTTATTTTGATGCATTGGAATAGAGCTGTCAGCATGAAGTACATCTGTCACTGACACCCGTTTGGGCCTTTTACGTTCTCTTATTCCATAAAACCTGATTTTATGTAAGATTGGTTAAAAAAAGTTATTACCCCTTAAGTGCTTTAGAAAACATGGAAAATGCCAAACTAATTATTGCTGTTGGCTTTTCTTTTAAAATGTCTTAGAAGAATGTGCACAGATTTGAAACAGCTCTCTGCAAATGAAACTGTAAATTATATTAGAGTCCCACAGTATCTGTAAAACACCCACAGCATTTACCACCTACAAATCCCAAAGTACAATAAACTGAGAGATGTGTCACATATTTCTTGGGCTTTCCTTCAGCACCTTGACCCCAGAACTGGCTTTCCATGCACTCCCACACCCAGGGCTGAGCAGCACAAGTGCTGTGTGTCACCCAGGGTGTAACTTTCACAATCGATCGCTTAAAATTAACCTTTCAGGGTGGGTAGAGGTTAATGTTAAACCAGAACTGTTCCCAGGTATAGTTCTTTTTGTTCAAACACAGGTGTTAGTGCAAAGAGGAAGGTGGAACAGGCAAAGGAACTAGCAGCAGGCAACAGAGCCATTGCTTGAGCTTGCCTGAAATGCTCAGGAATCCTTGGATGGGCACCAGTGCAAGCCTTTGGGAAGGAAAGGAGATGTTATCAAATGGGCTGGATATACAGACTCCCAGTGTCAGCCAAAATCAAAGAGGAACACAGAAGGGTCCACAGAAACAAAAATAATATTTTCTGGTATCACCAGAAGCTTCGTTTCTTGTCCTGTTTTTCACCAGTCACTTTGGCAACCTTCATTTTCAGGGCAAATAAGAACGCCAAAGAAAGCTGTGTTTATTTACAGATCATCCACAAAACTAAGCACACATTGGCTCCTAATTTTCCTGCAGAAATTCTGCCATGATGCAAATCAGGAGTTGCACATATGCCTCAAAGGATGGGTGAGCCAAGCTGGTATTACTGCTTTGGGAAGCTCACACACTGAAAAAAAGAAAAAAAAAGGCACATTGAGGAAAGCACTTTCACATATAGACAGGCATCTGACATGAATCAGTGAATTTCTATGGAAAACAGCCTCTTTCCAGGAAGAGTGATGACCCCAGAATGGGCACAATTTGATACTGTAATAGTCTAAAGCAATAGCAACTGGATGAGGAAGAGGAAAGGGGAGGAAATGTTTATAAAATCCCTAAGGCAGACAAACCCCTAATGCAGTCCATATGCTCGATGGCAGAGTAAACTGGGAAAAATTCAGCACAGGTATTTACTGATGTGTGCCTTTAACTACTATTCTTCTCCAGCTTTGTGGACCTCCCAGTTTCAGTACAGCCCCTTTTCTCCACAACCTTTTCATTTAAGATGGTTGTAGAGACTCTATAAACTTTATACAGCTTCCATAAATTAAATAGAATCTTTTTTTCTCCTTCACACCTACTATTGTATAAAAGCGAAGAAAATCATTCAAGTCTAAAGTTCCTATGCTTATGTATATAGTTTACTGAAACTGCACTGTGTTTACTGGGCAGCTAGAGAGCAATAACTCCATTATAAAATCATAATTACACACACCATATGGCTGGCCTGTACACAAATCCTAGGCTGGAAAAGAAGGATGTCTGCTGTGAGGGTTGGATTGAAAGATGTAATGCTGGAAGGGAGTAAAAGTTAGGAATTGCCTTTTTGATTCAGCTCAGCTCAGACCTTGACATAAGAGAAAAACTACAGAGAGAAATTTTGACCACCACACAGAAGCTGGTGGGTCTTCCATATTCTTCCTATTAATAAGCTCAACTGTAACACACCTTCACAGGAGGGTCTAAGATGTTGCAGAGGCACAATATTTATATCAAAGTGCATGGATAAGGCACTGACAGGCATTAGCTGCAATAATTTAGAGGGGAAGGAACCCCTAGAGAAGGAAAACATGCACTGTTAGGCTGATGAACCTGTTGTACAACCCACAGAATTCTCTGTGTCCCAGAGACAGGACAACAGAATGTGGCAGATTTTGTCTCCGCCACAGTATCTGCACCCTAGTCAGTTTGCAAATAAATATTCACAAAGATATACTACTTCATCAAATCCTATAGCAAAGGCAACTAATTTGGCAAAGAATAACACAAAGCTAGTTCAAAAACCACTTGGGCAAAAGTCAAGGTTAAGATGCTAATGCACAAGGGAGTTCAGCTACTTTCCTGCATGGCACGATTTCCTTCCCCGTCAGTCTAGAAATTCCTTAGGCATTTATTAATGCCATTTCTTCCTCTCTCAAATCTCCTCAAAGGTCACTATTGTTGCCTTACCTACAGGAAGTCAATCTCCAACAGGCTCTATGTTCAACACCACGTTTGAGATAGCAAATATTGATTTGCCTTTAAATATTATTTATTCTCTGGTTGCAGAACCAGTTATGAATAATCCTCTGAGGCACACCACCACGGGGCTGGGCACATCAAGGAACTACGAAATGTGGAAGCTGATTTGAGTGAAACCCTTGTTAGTGTGTAATTACATAGCTTCAGAAAACTGCTCGATTTGCATGGATGGATATTACTCCCAAAGCAAAGCAGAAGGCCACTTAAATTTGCTTCCAAACCTATTAGCATTTCATCTAGGATACCATCATCAGGTGACGTTAAGACCTTCACAACAGGCCAAGCTGGCTCTTAGATCCACTTGCAGCTTACCTTCTGGACATCTTGCTAAGCACCAGTTTTATAACACACACAAAATGCTTCTACCACAAGTCACAACCTTTACAGACACAAGATATACCTGTTATTAACATGCAGCAAGTTTTCAGGATGGACATGGTGGTGTTGGGCACCTAACTGTGACAGAGGATGCTTTAACCACCCTTGGCGTCAGAGGCAATAACTTGCCAGGAGGATTGTCCCATATCCACTTTGTCAATGACCAGTGGCCACCACAGAATCAGCTCATAATGTCCATGGCTCTCCTGGTATCCCAGCATTTGCCAAAGTCTTTGATCTGGAGAACATGGCACTTCTTATTACACAACAAAAATATACGGGAAAACGTACGATAATTAAATGCTGCATCCTGACTCCAAAGTGGAACGTGGTCCAGACACCCTATGTCTTGGGACACGCAAATTCCTCTCCTTCCACCTTCCTCACCCTGAAACCCCCTTTCACACAGTTAAGCAATCAGTCACTCTCTAATGAAAACACATTGAACAATCTACTTTTGAACTCCAGATCACTAAGAAAATGAGAACTGCATGTTGAACTGGGCTTCTTGGTGTTCCTGCACTGTGACTCAGCCTATTTCTCATTGCAATGTATCATGCTATCAAATCTGGATACTGCTTGCTCTGCAAACAGTGTTCATGAAGGAAGCCAGACTGACACCTTAGACAACAGATTTTACCTCAAATTGCTCATTTGTGTTGATGATAGAGATGAGTACTTGGATACAGACCCTGCCATTAGTTCTAGTATGTGATCAGGCATTAGATACATGATGTTGATTCTAGATACCAGATATTGACAACTCGAAGGAAGCACAGATCTTGTCTGGGAGACCTTCTACTGTTCAAACACGACACGTGGGACAAAGTTCAGATGCAAAGACCAAAGAGCACACACAGGCAACACATCTGACACGGGAAGGATGATTAAAGGTGTGCTGTAACAAAACTAAGAAGAGGGTGAGCAAGGCAGACTGGGTGGGAGGTAGAATCTGACAGCAAAATAACTGGAGAGTTTAAGATGAAATGTGCAAAGTAGGGCAGGGAAAAGTGCAATTAAATCTACTTTTGTTTCATCTCAACAAAGAGTTACATTAAATATATTGAACTATCAATG